GCGGCGTCGAAGTTCCGCACTCGCGTTCTTCGTCGAGGAGTGCTCGTTCTGCAACCTCCAGGCCCACACGATCTGGAAGGGGGCCACGAGGTCGGAGGCGCGCACGGTCACGCGGTTTTTGGTCGTCGAAGGGAGCCTCGAGGAGCCCGCCGACATCAGGCAAGTCGCGCCAGAGGCCCCAGACGCGATGCCGGGCCTCAGCGACGAGGAGGTTGTGCCGGTCACCGCGATCAGCAAGCACGACTCAATACAGGTGGGCCAGCTCTTGGACAAGCACGTCGTCTCCATGTCTGGCTCCACCCGCCGGCTTCATCTGGTCGGAATCTGCTACCGGCGTCCTGGGGTGGATTACCGAAAGCATCAGTTCCTGGGCGACGCGGTGCCACACGAGAGCCTTTACACCCACCGGCGCGCGCACTGCGGGGGGAAGCGCCCGTGGCTTGACGACGACGCTTGCGGGAGTTCGTCCTCGTCTTCTTCCGGTTCGACTTCCGGTACTGAGCCGCTCGGTGCCACACAAAACCGCCTGCGCGGTCCAGTTGCCGCCGCGCGTTCGTGCGCGGCGGGTGGCCCCAGCAGGCCTCGCCTCAGATCGGCGCCCCTGGCTATGCAGCAGCCGCTGGAAAAAATGGCGGCGTTCTCCGTCGTGAGGGCCACGGCGGGGGGGACGGCCGCCGCGTCGCAATCCAGCGAGGAGGAGGATGAGGCGGAGGAGGTCGAGGAGAAGGTTGAGGAGGAGGACGAGGAGGAGGAGGACGACGATCGTCGCTCATGTTTGCCTCACGCAAAAAAGAGGAGGAGGAGAAGGAGGAGGAGGAGGAGGAGGAGAGAGGATGAGGAGGAAGAGCACACAGGGAGGATCACAGGAGCCCCCCCGGTGCCAGGCCGAGACGTCCGACGGCGCCGATCTGGAGCGCCGGCTGGCGCCTCTGCGCAGCCAGGCGACGCAGGACGCGGAGTGGGCGCTCACCAGCGGCGCCTTCGACTTCACGGCTCTGGGCAGTTCGAAGAAGAGAAACGGCGTAAGCATCATTTCTTTGAGCTCCGCGCGGATTTCTTGGATCGGCGCTGAGGCCCCCTGACGGCGCCTCCGGCGCCGCCCCTGGCGCGCTCCGCCAGCCAGGGAGGGGGTCCAACGCAGATCCAAGAAATCCGCGCGGACCGCCGAAAGTCTATGTTTTTGCATTATGCAGTTTGTTTTTTTTTCGATTATGCTTAGTCTTATTATTAGTCCTCTTCTTTTTTCCTCCTTCTTCTTCTGATTAGTATTATTAGTATATGTTTGTCTTATCATGATTTTCTTCTAGGAGTTGCAGTTCAGGATGCAACTCCTGGGGGCTCAAATTCAGCATCGGCGCTAGTATATCCGTGGTCGAAAGCCGGCCGAATCTAGCAGAACCCCGTTTAATGGGTTCTGTCCCGCTTCATCAGGCGCCTTGGCTTGGTTTGAGCTAATCGGGTTGGATGGCCCGCAATCGGGGCCTGATAGATCGTTATTGCAAAGACTTGCCAGGAGTTGCCTCGCACGGTAGTGGCACAAGTGGTTGTTGTGGCAGGGCCGTCGCCGTCGTCGTCGTCGTCCACTCTTTTCAGCGGACGAACGGAGTAAGATTAATTATTCTGCCATCTGGGACGCTTGTGCCAAAGCGGCCAGAAAGTTTGGCATGCGGAGCAGCAACTTGCCGGCAACCCTGAGACACGAGGGTCGAGGTTCAAGATTGTGGGCGTTTATTCCTTACCTAGGCTCTGCCTATAGGGTTCTTACTTTGTTTGCTTAAAGGGGCCGGGCAGTGTAAAACGCCCCGGGCGGTTCCCCCAGTCCCCGCCCCGCGGTTCCCCCAGTTGCGCCCCCTGGGTTCCCCTAGCTTAGCTTAGCTTAGCTTAGTTTAGCTTAGCTTAGTTTAGCTTAGCTTACTTTAGCTTAGCCTGGCCCAGCTAAGCTTAGCTTAGCATAGCTGAGCGTAGCCTAGCTTAGCTTAGCTCAGCTTAGCCTATATCATTTTAGTGTAGCTTAGCTTAGCTTATCTTAGCTGAGCTTAGCTAAGCTTAGCTTAGCTTACCTCGTCTTAGCTTAGCTTAGCTTACCTCATCGTAGCTTAGCTTAGCTTAGCTTAGCTTAGCCCATCCTAGCCTAGCTTAGTTTAGCTTGGCTGAGTTTAGCTTGGCTTAGCTTAGCCTAGCTGAGCCTAGCCTAGCTTAGCTTAGCTTAGGTTAGCATCGCTTACCTTAGCTTAGTTTAGCTTAGCTTAGCTTAGCGCAGCATAGCGCAGCGCAGCATTAGCACAGCATAGCATAGCATAGTCAAGCATAGCATAGCATAGCATAGCATATCATAGCATAGTTCAGCATAGCATAGCATAGCATGGTATAGCATAGCGCAGCATAGCATAGCATAGCATAGCATAGATGCAGGTGTAGATGTAAGTGTAGCTGTCGGTGTAGATGTAGATGTTGCTTTCCTAAATGTTCCAACTGCTCCAACTCCTAGGTAGGGTCGCACTGGGATAATTTTGGTGTTCTGGGCCTCTCGAGGCGCCCTTTTGGCCGCGGCTGGATCCGCTCCAAGATTCTGCCCAGGGCGCACCCCAGACTAGGGGGGGAGAGGGGCGATAGCACAGGTAGATTTGGCAGAAACTAACAACGCGATCGGATGTTGATTTCCGAATTCGTTCCCAAACAAGCGCAAACGTGTCAGACACAGCTATGTACTGGGCCTCGTCAGACCGCCCGAGGCTGGTGCCATCTCTGACCGTCCGCCGGACGTCGCCTTGTCCCTGCTCCTTTCGTCAAACAGCCCTACTGATGATCCTCCTCTTCCTCCTCCTCTTCCTCCTCCTCTTTTTTCCTCCTCCTTATTCGGTTCCTCTTGGCATCGCTCGGACGTGTACATATTGTCGGCGAGGGCCATTGAGGAGCATCCTGGATCATTTGCGGAAAAAGCACGCATGGTACCGCGAAAGGCGCGGGGAATGAACGTCCGAGCAATGGCGAGTCCTCCTCCAACACTTCTTCGCAGCCGTTTTGGCTCAAGATGCAGGGGCTCCTTGGGAACATCGTGGATACCCCCCTCTCAATCCCCTCCTTTCTCATTAACCCTCCCCTCCTTCCTCCTCCCCCTCTCTGCTCCCCTCCCCTCCCGCTCCGCCAGGATCGGTCGGTTGGTTTGTGCTCACAGATCCGTAGCCATTTTGGCTCAAGCGAGCCGCGCGCTTCGGGAGGCCCTCGCCAGCGCGCCTGCTCGGGCGCAGGTGCGCAAGCGGCCATGGAGGACGTCGCCTTCTTCAGCAAGAGTTCCGGACGCCGCTGGGCTGCCGCGAGTGCGAAGACGCTCGCGCGTCGCCGTCGGCGGCAATATCGTCATGAAATCGGACTTTCGCGTGCTCAGGCGCTGCAGCGGCGCTTGGTCCTGCTCCGCGTTGGACTTACCGCCCACTGGGACCTGAGCGACGCCATCGGCGGTCACCTCCCAAGATCGGCGACGCCCTTGCTGCTGCCGATTTTCTTGGGGCTGTGTCGCCCGATCTCATCGCGTTGGCGGCCGCAGCCTGTGCTGACAGCAACTGGGTTCGGCACGCGCCACTACGCGACACGCCTGCCATCCCCAAGATGCCGATCGGCATCAGCCTGGTCAATCTTGAGCTGTTCCGTGCCGCGTTATACCACGGCCAGTACGACATCGAGCAGAAGACCGTGGACGACCTGCTGGGTGCCCTGCTGTGTGATGGCGATGTTCCTCACCCTGGCGACCCTCATGCTCCTGCAGATGAGCCTTCTGTGCGCGCAGATGTGCCTCATCGGGATGATGAAGAATATTTCCTGGTGGTGCTTTTCCTGCTGAAGCGGTTCATGGCGTTTCTCCTGCCGGCCTGCCTGATGAGCTACCTGACGATCCTGGGGCTCATGGGCTACCTGATTTTCCTGGTGGAGCCGCTCTTCCTGAGCTACCTGACGATTCTGGCGGAGCCGCTCTTCCTGATGATGCTGATCTTCGTCTTCCTGCTCGTAGGCGTGACCAAGATCGATGCGCTGATCTTCATGGCGTGGGCGGCGCTCGCTGGTGGACCGCCCGCCAGGCCATCGCCGACGCGTGGCTGCTGCGCCCTGCTCGCGATGATCCTGTCCTCCGTGCTGGGCCCGCGACTGAAGTTCAGAAACTTGCTGCTCCTGCCGCTGGTCGCGACAACATCGGGTTCACGCTCGCCACGAACTCGTTCCGACCTGGTTCGTCTGTCTACGACTCGTCTGGCGGAGACTGGTACGACAGCATGCCCAGAGGCTGGAGGCCGACGCCGCACCGCTCCAAGCGGGCTGTATGACGCCCCCCGCGCGCCTCAGTTGCCCTCCCCGCGACCTCCCCTCACTCCCGTCTGTGTGTCCTGTTGGGGGGCGGGAACGGGAGGGATGGAGGATGAGGTGGCTGTCTTGAGATCTCGCTCTAGTTGCCGCCCCGTTTGATATAATAGATTGTCCAGCGTTGGCGCTACCACGCGTCCGAGGATGATCTTTTGAATTGCAGGTGCATTCGGGCCCTCGAGGTTTCGTGCCCCTGTTTGCTGGTCGTGGCCCTCCGCCTCGTCTCTGTCTGGGTTCCTGGGTCTGTCCCTCGTTCCCTTTTTCGGTCCCCTTCGGGCCCCTTCGCTCTTCGTCTGAGCAGGAGTGTTCGGCAGACGTTCACCCGCGCGCAAAACAAAAAAAAAATGTGCTCACAGAAGAGGCGCTCTCGCGAGCTCACGAGCAGACCCTGATCCAGAGGGGGGCCCGAGACGCGTTTTCCAGACTTGCGCGGCATGGCCCCCCTCAGATCCCGGCGGAGCAGGCGCGCAGGGAGAGGAGGAGAGAGGGGGAGGAGTTGTTTCCTCCCTCGGCTGTTCTGGAGCCGCCAAAAAACCCCACGACCGCTGATGACGGACGGCCAACACACACACACACACACACACACACACACATACACACACCACAACAACAACAACAACAACAATCACTTTACCCGAACGCTCAGTGTTCTCACCAGTGCCAGGGTTTTCATGCGACGCCAGCCAATACCCCCACTTTGTGGGGGGGCAGTGCAAGCTCTACCAAATATCCACACGACTCTTCGCCACCACCCACACCCAGCTTCCCGCCCTATGACGTTCGGACACTTCACTTCGTGGCCTGCGGACGACCGTGGCTACTACACTGGCGTGGAGTACACACCCACAGAAGTTGTTAGGACAGCGCGCGCGGGTAGAAATTTTGAAAAGTCGTGCAGGTGTTTTTCGAGGACCTACGGTGCGATTCGTGTGAATTAATGATGCGCGGTGCTAGAATTCTTAAGAACCCAATGGTTTTTGGAGATTTCGGCGTGCGCGCGCAAAAAACGAATGTGTCCCGCATGGTATTATTTGACAGGGATGATGGCCCTGGCAGGTGCGCAACCGTTGTCGCAGAAGTTCGAAAAAGTTGCTCGCAAAAGCCCGTTTGACAGAAATGTTTAAAAAGTGTTGGGTTTCCTACGAATCCGCAAGAGCGCGCGGGATGAGATTTTGACATTTTTTTGTTGAAAAACCATTGGTTTTTTGATGTTTTTATGTTAAAATCGCTCCGAACACTAAGCTTTTGGAAGGATTTCGTCTTGCGCGCGCGAATGTCCACTTTACCTTATTTTTTGCAAGGGATTCTTGAAATTTGATTATATTAGAACAAGAAATGTCATTTTATAGTGTTTTTTGCAAGGGAAAACGGATTACAACAAAACAACCGGATCTTGATGACATCGTATTACCTGAGGCTTCCTCACGAAAATGATGAAAATGTAGCTGCGGCCTAGGCGGCGCAGGGGGGCCGTGCACCAGGGGTCCCAACAATAATTATTCTTTAGAATTAATAATGTTCAACAACAACAACAACAACAACAACAACAACAACAACAACAACAATCAGTTTAATATGGTTCGCCCTTTATCTGCTCGAGTGTCGAATAACGCGAATTTCCCAAACCCTCGATACCCGCCCTCTTCGCATTCGATCGAACCCTTTTTGGCAGGCCCCGGCAAGCGGCGGGGCGGCCGCGGACCGTCGGCCTGGCCAGCGGCAGCCCTGATCGGCGGGGCGGCTGCGGACCGTCGACCCGACCCCAAGAGGGACGGACAGGAGACCCACCACGACGACGACGACGACGACGACGACGACGACGACGACGACGACGGCGACGACGACGACGACGACGACGACGACGACGACGACGACGACGAGCGAAAGCGAGAGCGAGAGAGAACGACAGCAGGGCAACAAGGACACGAAGTAGGCCACGAAGGGCGACAGCGGGGACACGAAGGGAATGCGTATGGAGCGCGAACGAGCGGGGGCCACGAAGGGCAGATAATGCGGGGCCACTGAGGGTAGCAACTGGGCCACGTAGGACAGTGAGGGGGCCACAAACTGCGACAGCGGGGCCACGAAGGGCATGCACATGGTGCCACAACGGGCGCGAACGAGCGGGGGCCACGAAGGGCATACGTATACTGGGCCTCGGAGAGCAAGGACGGAGCCACTGAAGGCAGCAACGGGGCCTCGAAGGGCAGCGAGGGGGCCACGAAGGGCGACAGCGGGGCCACGAAGGGCATGCATATGGGGCCCCACGGGCGCGAACGAGCGGGGGCCGCGAAGGGCGAAAATATATGGGGCCACGAAGGGATGCAACGGGGCCACGAAAGGATGCAACGGGGCCACGAAGGGCTCCAAGCGTGAGCGCGACTCCTGGGTGCCTGGGTGTCGGGAGCGCGGCGCTTTCTGTAGTAAATTCCAACGCCAGGGCGCTATTCTTCAGTAAATTGCAAGCAAGTCTCCAGCGAGAGCGCGACTCCAGAGCGCCGGGGGAGCGATTCCTGAATAAATTGTCAGGAAGTCCCAAGCGAGAGCGCGTCATCTAAATAAAATGCGAGGAAATCTCGGGCGGGAGCGGGGGTCCTGGCTAAATTGTGAGGAAGTCTCAGGCGGGAGCCGTTGTTGTTGTAACCCGGGGGCCAGGGGCCCAGTTTGAGCTTCAAGATTTTCCGTGGTAGCAAAAAAAACAGGGCACAAGCGTCGAGGGGCACACTTTGATTGAGAAAAAACAGTTTGCACCGGTGCGGGGGGATCAGCAATAATCATTCTTCAGAAATGAGAGTTCAACAACAACAACAACAACAACAACAACAACAATCATTTTACCCGAACGCGTGGTGTTCTCCCCAGTGCCAGGGTTTTCATACGACACCAGGCAATACCCCCACTTCGTGGGGGGGCATTACAAGCTCTACCAAATATCCAAACGACTCTTCGCGACCACCCAAACCCAGCTTCCCGCCCTATGACGTTGGGACACTTCACTTCGTGGCGTGCGGACGACCGTGGCTACTACACTGGCGTGGGGTACACACCCACAGAACTTGGTCACTTATTCGGGGCGCGATTCGTGTGATTTTATGATGCGCGGTGCTAGAAATTCTTAAAAACCCAATGGTTTTTGGAGATTTCGGCGTGCGCGCGCGAAGAAAAAACGAATGTGTCCCGCATGGTATTATTTGACAGGGATGATGGCCCTGGCAGGTGCGCAACCGTTGTCGCAGAAGTTCGAAAAAGTTGCTCGCAAAAGCCCGTTTGACAGAAATGTTTAAAAAGTGTTGGGTTTCCTACGAATCCGCAAGAGCGCGCGGGATGAGATTTTGACATTTTTTTGTTGAAAAACCATTGGTTTTTTGATGTTTTTATGTTAAAATCGCTCCGAACACTAAGCTTTTGGAAGGATTTCGTCTTGCGCGCGCGAATGTCCACTTTACCTTATTTTTTGCAAGGGATTCTTGAAATTTGATTATATTAGAACAAGAAATGTCATTTTATAGTGTTTTTTGCAAGGGAAAACGGATTACAACAAAACAACCGGATCTTGATGACATCGTTTACCTGAGGCTTCCTCACGAAAATGATGAAAATGTAGCTGCGGCCTAGGCGGCGCAGGGGGGGCGCGCACCAGGGGGCCCAACAATAATTATTCTTTAGAATTAATAATGTTCAACAACAACAACAACAACAACAACAACAACAACAACAACAACAACAACAACACCAACACCAACACCAACACCAACAACAATAACAGTAACGACAACGACAACGACAACAACAAACACAAACAAACAAACACATACACACACACACACACACACACACACACGCACACACACGCACACACACACACACACACACGCACACACACACACACACATTCATACATACACGGCTGCACGCGTGGAAGGGGGAGGTGGGGTGGGGAAACGAGGGGAGGGAGGGAAGAAGGGCTCGTCTTCCGCCCTCCTCCACCGCTCGTTCCCTCCCTCTTCCTCCCCGTCCCCGCTCGCTCAGCGGGGATCAGGGGGGACCACATAGCATAAGTCTGAAAATGGGGCCCTGGCCAGAGGGCGTCTTTACATCGGCCCTGCACTGTCCTCACACACGCTACACAGAATGACAGTTCAGTCTTGGCGGCACCTGCGATCGAGCAAGTAGCGCATGTGTATCTCGGCCCGCAGTCGCACCTTAGTGGTGCCAGGCCAGTAGCAGTTTCTGATAAGCGCCAGCAGTTTGATTACCAGCTGCCCACCCTCGGCGAGGGCATGTTTTGCCCTCGGTGAGAGCCCTTGTCATGGAAGGGATCGACGGTGAGGATGAGGCAGGGGGTAGTTTAGTTTTGGGTCCCTGACATTGTGCCCACTCGCGTACCCGCCGCTGGGCCTCAGCCTTCTCCAGTTCCCGCCGTCCTGCGTTTCACGTAAGGCAGGCCCTGGGAGCGCCCTAGGAGCCCTCAACGCCCCAGGGCGCCCAGACCTCCGGCACAGTGAATTCGGTGTCTGATTTGGTGCCAGAGGGGGGGGGGGGGGCGGGGGCCAGACCTCCGTCACGGTGAATTCGTTGCTTGATTTGCCCCCATTGGAGGAAGGAGGGCCAGAATAAAGACCTCCTCCTCCTCCTCCTCCTCCTCCTCCTCCTCCTCCTCCTCCTCCTCCTCCTCCTCCTCCTCCCTCCTCCTCCTCCTCCTCCTCCTCCTCCTCCTCCCTCCTCCTCCTCCTCCTCCTCCTCCTCCTCCTCCTCCCTCCTCCTCCTCCTCCTCCTCCTCCTCCTCCTCCTCCTCCTCCTCCTCCTCCCACCTCCGCCTCCTCCTCGTCCGCCTCCGCCTCCATCTCCGCCCCCTCCCTGCCGCCGCTCGCCGCGCGCTGAGGCTTCCCCCGTGCCTCGTCGGCGGCGCGAGGCCGCAGCGGCGCTAGAGCTAGCAGACATTCCGAGTGGAGCATTTGTTCCTCCCTCCTCCGCCCCCTCTTCATCGGGCTCCCCAGCCTCCCAAGGGGGCCCTGGCCATCACGTGCCATCTGACTGGGGCTAGGGCCATCTCTGAGACCGCAGACACGCGCTATCTCCAGCTTCGGGTGGGCCTAAGCCCTCGGACATGTGTTATCATGTTGTTGTTGTTTGCTGGTCATTTGGCCCGGCACATTGGGGTCAGCTGATTGGTGTCTGGATGGCGCCAGACAGCTGAGATAGCGTTTGTTCGGCCTCCCGATTCGACATGCCTTATTCCGAAGAGGGCCAGATAACACAAGCGTCTGGTGTTCCGCGCGAGCAAAGCGCCGCTTTCGTGCGTAGGTTCCCGAATGGCGAAAAGACGACGCATCGGATGGCTCCCGCGTCTGGCAAGGACGCGTCGCCATGCGCTTTTGCCACTCGCCCGCAAGCGACTCAGCTCCTCACAACGACTCGTGCGTTGTCGTGCGTCCTTTACTTGAAAAATTGTCTCCGAAACACGCCCGGTTGGCAATTCCGCAGTTGTGGTTCCAGGAGCACCTTGGCGGAGGTTCAGGTCTCCTGCAGGTGCTGGCAATCACAAGCGCCATAGCGCGATTACGTCGTTTATTTTAGCAGGACCACAGATTTTGTCATATCACGATATATTTCGCCACGTGCGGTGCCTAAGTGACATCCCGTGGTTGGCGGGCAGCCCTCATGAACAAACGCGTTCGAAGAGGCGCGGAGGAAGAGCGAGGGATGCGCCCACTTTTGACCCCGTGTGGACGATCGTTGCATCAGACGGAGCCATTCGCCAACAAGGTGCAACCTGGCAACGCCAGTCATCTTGCGGCAGGACACAGGGGAAAGATGTGTAGTTGCATGGTGTGTCATGTTCCTCGAGGGCGCAGAGAACAACATGGCAAAAGACGCAGGAATCATATTTGCTGTTGGGTTTGCCGTGGAGAATCCTGCTCCGAGAGTTCGATTATTGTTGGATTTTCTTTTTGATGCCCCGGCAGTTGAGCTACGAGTGGAGATATGCGTCCTTTGCTTTACAACCAGCCTACGAGCGGGCCCTGGCGATGGTTGAATGGCTGCGCCGCCTCCCATCTGTAGTTGAGGTGCACATCGACCATGCGCACCGCTAGTTCAACGCGGATGCGGATTCGGTGTGCAATGTGGTATCAGACAGAGTGGCAGGCAACGAGTTGCCAGACGCTCCCGGCCGTCACGTATTCGTGAAATGGGCGCCGTTTGAACAGGCCAGCTTGTCAGGGTGACGCCTGGGCAGCGTTTCTCTGTTCTGTCCCCCTCTCTCCCTCCCGTCCCCTTCCTCCTCGGGTGCCCTCGGGGCTTGGCCTGGCCTCGCCCCTACCCACTTCAGGACTTCGTCCCAAGCTGCACCCGCGTGCCTTGGCACTCGTTCTGCCCCTTCGTTCCCCCCCGTTCCACCCACTATCGTGCCCTGCGGGACCGGCAGGCTTTGCTCGAGCCTTCCAGACGCAGCGAGGCAGCTTCCATAGTTTTCGGTTGCAAATCATGGGAGCATTGTGAGTACCCGCGCAAAGCCCGTCTTTAGAGCACACTGGCGCCGACTAGCGTCTGCAGTCGACGAGATAGCGCCGACCTAGCGCCGATTAGCGTCGATTCAGCGTCGGTCAGCGTCAATTCGCGCCGATTCGTAAGAGCCAACAAGACGGTATGGGAGGCTCCCGTGGGTTGCCACCGAAGATAGTTCCAGTCATTCAAGGTTGACCTACCCACGCGGTATCAGAAAGTGTGGTCTAAAATTTGAATGGTGGGGCGGCCTAGGAGGGTCCACGCACGTGCACAGGAGTTGGGTGCACGGCCGCGCACACACGGCTTCGAAACGACGGCGCGATTGACCCTGACAGCCGCCGAAGCGTAGGCGTGGAAGTAGCAGAAAAGCATCCAGGGAAAAGTTCGAAAGTTGGTATAAGAGGAACAAGTTATATTAGCATAAATGTTCAGCGGTCCTCGCGGGTTTCTTGGATCTGCGTTGGGCCCCCGCTGGCGGCGCCTCCGGCACCGCCGCCAAGGAGGGGGGTCCAGTGCCGATGCACGAAATCCGCGCGGAGGTTGGTAAGTCTATGTTTATGCCTTTGGATGCTCCTGTGTAATTGAACGAGGCGCTGCGGAGTTCGTGGACCGAGGCTGGAGGTGTCTGCGGGCTCATCCCTACTGGCCGGCTGATTCTCTATCAGCCCGAGTAGCCCGCGGGCAGCTACGGTCAGCAACGTCTGCTTAGCGTGTCGCGCCGCCAGTTCTGGCACACCACGCTTCGGCGCGACACGCTAAGCGCACTCCAGTCCCCAACCATCAGCGTGCCGAGCTTCTCCCAGCTTTCCGTCCAACGGAGCACAGCGACACGCTTTCAGCTTACGAGGCGCAACGTGTCGCAGGGGGCCAGCCCGGTGACACGCTGAGCAAAAAATTGTGACCGGTTCCGGGAATCAGTTCGCGGGTCGTCACGCACCTTGTGCTGGGCCTCGCGGCGCCTCGGTCCCCTCCGGCCTTGCGCCGCCAGGAAGCGACAGACGTGGTTCGGAGGAGGGGAGGGAAAGAGGAGGAGGAGGAGGAGGAGGAAGGAGGAGGAGGAGGAGAAGGAGAAGGACGAGGAAAAGGAGGAGGAGGAGAGGAGGAGGAGGAGGAGGAGGAGGAGGAGGAGGGGGAGGAGGAGGGAGGAGGAGGAGGAGGAGGAGGAGGGAGGAGGGAGGAGAGGAGGAGAGGAGGAGGCGGAGGAGGCGGAGGAGGCGGAGGAGGCGGAGGAGGCGGAGGAGGAGGAGGAGGAGGAGCAGGAGCAGGAGGAGGAGGAGGAGGAGGGGGAGATGGTTTGATCTCCACCCCTCCTGCAGGTTCTGAACGTGCGCAGGGAGGAGGCCCTGCAGGAACTGCTGCGTGCGGCGGCGTACTGCTTCGAGGACCCCTTCTGAGGGCTTCCGAGCCCCTCGCGCCGGCGAGCAATGGGCAAACAGTGTGCCGCCGCTTCGACCAGCATGGTCGCCGCTGCTTCCATCAGCGCCACCCCGCTGTACCCCCTCCCCCACCAGTAACAGAAGGGTGGCTCTTTGAGGTCCACAGGAAACGCCTCCGCCAGCTCCATTCCGAACCCAAATGTTGGGTGGGGGGGGGGCCAACACCAGTTCCGCAATACAGGAACCCAGAGGTACACGTAAGAAGCACCATCTTGGCGTGTTGGTGGGAGCGGCAGCGGGAGGATGAATGGAGCAGTTGGGCCAACCTCATTGGCAATTCGCTACCAGCAGTATCAGGTCCGTGTAGACTACGACAGGCCCACTCGCATGAGCTATGTTTCCAGTCTCGCTATGTTTCCAGTGTGGCTGCATTCTACTATAGTGGCGAGGAGTATCGGCTGTGTTCGAAAATCGTATGCACCCACCCTCCATTTCGCGCACCCTGCTGTTCTCCGATGGGAATTGCCGCGCGACGTCAGTTCAGACGAGTGTACATGTCTGCTCATTCTCCTCCTCATCCCGGTTATCGCTTGTTCCTCCTTAATTTGCCCTCTCGTACCCCCGCTCCGCATGCAATAGGTAGCATCGAAGTTGTTGACCCCCTCAGTGCAGGCTTGAGTTGAATGAGTAACGCGCGACACGGCTCAGAACACGCGATCCGGATTTCTTGGCCGGTTCGGGTTTTCAACACGTCGATACACCCTTAGTTTTCAATTGACCGATTTGGTACGACAGTGGACTTGATATGCCCGTTGGAAGTTTCAGGGCTTTCGATTCTGGTTGAGAACGCCCTTGCTTTTGTTGATGGGACGGAACGGGTTGTGATTGCAACGTTGTTTCAATGATGGAAACGTTGGAACCCACTGTTGCGAAACATTGGTTTCGGAAGCGAGGCCACGCCATTCTTCTATATATCGTCCTGCTCCTCTTCCTTCTCATCGTCGCCGTCGTATTCCTCGTGATGTTTGTTCTTATCCTTGTCACCCTCGTCGTCGTCCTCTTCCACGTCCTCATTGCCCACGTGCTCAACGTCTTGTCCCCTCTTGGCCTTGTTCCTCTTCTTGTTCGTCCCCATCCTCCTATCCTCCATGTCGCGCTCTCCATCCTCCTCGTTCCGCTCCTCCCTCGTCTGCCTCATGCTCCTTATTACTTTCATCCGCGTCGTTTTTGTCGTCGTTTTCGCATTTCTTCCTCGTCGTCGTCTTCCCCCTCCCGGTCCTCCGCCAGAATAAGGGAACTGAAACGGGAAGGAACCAGACGGAGTGGTGCAGTTCGCAATTCTCCTCTTTGCTAACCAGCGTGGTTGTTATTGTATTGCGCAGTACCTTGGATGAATCGGCGCATCGGCGGTTCGGTGATCGGCGCACCCGTTCGTGTCCAGAAGATTTCCGGTACGTTCAGCCGGTGCCAAATAGTGAGGCCCATTTTGAATACTCATTCGCGCAGTATTGAAATGGAGGACAATACTGTGCCCCAGCACAAGGAATTTCCGCACCAGTCCTTGCGATGGGGGGTGAGCATAGCATCGCGTTAATGTGAGCTTCTTTGCTCCGGCACCGGTTGCCGCCCGGAGCCGAAATCGTCGCATAGTTGAACGATATTTATGTTGTTTGTGACCCAACAGATGCACCGTAAATCTTGCACGGCATTCAAACAATTCTTGACGGCATATGCCGTATTGACGTGCGGACATGGAAATTTGTTGCCTCGAAGATACTGCGGCCGTTATACCTACTACTGCATGGAAATGCGATGCGCCATTCCCGGAACGAGGTATCAAAGTCTTGGGGACAGCGTTGGTCAGCCAAGTATGGGCAAGCATACGGGACGAAATATGCCGAGAAGAGAGCAAAGATCTTTTTATTTCTATTTCAGCTCCCTTCTTGCTAAGCAGTTTGGTTTGTATTCTCTTATTGCACAGTCCCACGCATGACCGCCAGATACAATACGGACATTTACCGTTGGTCACGACTGATCCATATTAGATGCGTTTCGGAATTTGTTCGGGACCGGCGATTCGCACTATTGGCCTGCACAAGTACATGATATATAATGTGGCACGTGAATTCTCCAAGCCTAATTACCCTTTAAATTGAGAAGGAAAGGGTTGCGAAGTTCGGATCGGACAGTGGATGCCGCCAATTGGGCAAGTTGGGCCGATGCATGTTCTTGTAAAATGTGGGTGGAGACACCGGAAGCATACCCAATGTAATCCTATCAGCACTTTGCGCGTGAGTGGTTTAGTGAGCTCTCTTTGTTCTGAACCCCCCATCTTTCTTTTCGGGGAAGGGTTCCCCCTACCCCCTCCCCGTGGACACGGAGCCCGGGGCGTAGTGAGGGTTTTTTTTTTTTTTTTGGTCTCCCTAGGAGGGCTACAAAACGACTACCCTCACGAGGATTTTGGCCCCGTCGGGAGGGGGGTTTAGTTTGGCCCCTCTGGTGTTCCTTTGAAGCTAAAATCGTTGATTTCAGTATGGTTTTGGCCACATTGTGGCGTCCTGAGGGAACCGCGCCCATGTTCCTTCTTAGCAAAATCATTGATGTTACGACGGTTTGTGGACCATTTTGTTTTTCTCAAGGGGCAACGCTCTTTTGCGCTTCTGAGGGATCACAAATTATTCCAAATGAGACCAAGAGACTTCCAGGAGCCTCACAAGAGGCCTCCAAGAGGCTCCCTAAGAGGCTCCCCAAATGCCCTCCAAAGGCTCACCAGAGGCTCCCAGAACCTCCACGAAGCCCTCAAAAGGCCCCCAAGAAGCCCCCAAGAGCCTCCGAAAAGGCTCCAAGAGGCTTCGAAGAGGTCCCACGAGGAGGTGCTCTGAAAATGTTGCCAAGAGGCGCCCTCAGAGACCTCCGACCAAAAGACATATACTTTTATTTCTATTTGTACGACTACTACTACCACAACTTCGATTCCACGCCTGAAACGACCGACTCACACCAGGACGAGGCACACAAACGACTCACACCATGAGGAGCCCGAACGACTCACACCAAAACGAGGGTCCCGAACGACTCACATCACGAGGAACTCGAATTATCACACCAAGAGGAGGAGCTCGAACGACTCACACCAAAACAAAGGGCCCGAACAAGACACACCACGAGAAGCCCGAACGACCCACGCCAGGACGAAGAGCCCGAACGACTCAAACCACGACGAAGAGCCCGAACGACTCACATCAGGAAGAAGGGCCCGCACGACTCACACCAAGATGACAGGCCCGGAGACATGCGAGGGCAAGCGGAAACACGCCTGAAAAACACGATTGAGATGGGGGGGTGGGGATATGCGAAGCGTGAAGAATTTTGACTGTATTCTGTACTATTGTCACACAATTTGCACCAAACCATATGTAATTGTGGATTTTGTAATACTTTTGTGAATATCCGGGCACGTGCCACAATCAAACAACACCCATCAATATTCACTATGACCTTCTCGGGGTGGACGTCGGTGCGAAATCCCAAAAATATGAAAGCTTCTCAGATTCTCGAAAAATTGCTTGGTGTATTCAAGGGCTGCAACACGCATCGCAACCGCGATAATTCGTGGTAGATGAATGTTACGAACAATTTCCGCCATATCACAAAGTAATTCGAATGCTGTGTTGTCGTATAGAATATGATAAAATATGAGTATCTGCTACCTGATGGTCGATGATAATTGTCGTGCAGGCACAAATTCCTGAAAATTTGGTGGGGGTGGGTCAGATGGATTATCTGCCCGAAAATGGAATTGATCTAACATCACCTCTGCGTACTGGGCGCGATATCACGTGTGCCGCATGATTGAATTCGCCTGAACTCATTATTAGAATGTTTGGTTGGAGTTTCGGCGTTTTGACGGTGGGATCGCCGTTGTTCAGCGGTTTCTTTTTTCATCAGTTTAATAAGATTCGGGTTGAATCAAAAATCTTCTCGAATATAACGATTTTGTCCCTGTGTGCCTTGGCCCGAACTGTGCCTGCATGTGGCCATGTCGTGCATGGTGCAGAAAAATGCCGCACAGCCAGTTTGGGGAAAACATTGCGTTAGCCAATACAAAAGTGCGACAATTTTGTGATGGAGTTGTGAACGTGCGGGTCCTCACTTCGATATTTCTTGATAAATCCAACGGTAATACAAGCTCGAATCCACGTCGCAGTTGAGCAATACTTGACGGGAGTCTTGAAGCAAGAGTCTTGAAGCAAACCTTTCTCGTGCTGCATCGGGTTGCGCTGCGTGCGGGGGGTCAGTATTCGATTGAGATGGGCACATTACGAAATTTGCATAATCAAGAAATATCAGAAATCGTGATATTGGTGCATTTTCTCCGCCACGAATAATCATAACCAACTTCAATTCCTAACCCTCTACATTTGCAATCATATTAATAGCCTATAGAAGAATGTGTTATTGCACTGCCAGTAATAAATACGCATCGATCGGGACATCGATAGAATGCAAATGTGTATATTAAGAATGTAAATGGCTAGAAATCAAACTGTTGCAGACCCCCGTCTTGAGCCACAATAACTTTAAAATTAAAGGCTCAATTGAAAATCAAAGGCAGATGCCTACCAACTCCGAATTTACAAAACATGGAGAATTTCTTTCATAAGCGGACTTGTCCTGGGGATGGATCGCCCCAAAATTTCCAAACGAATTTCATCATTATGACGAAGTACGCTGATCCGTTGAGATTGCGGGGGCCAGAAAAAGGCTGATCCACACACATCTCGTGGAAATAATCGAACCAAACTCTCCAAGCGAATCCAGCCATGACGATGAAGCGCGCTAGTAATATGAAAACATTGTTATTACCTTGAAGAGTGATCTACGAACAGAACTAAAGTCATTATGTATGGCAGGTGAGCCAACGCAAATTTCTCAAACAAAAAAAAACGGTTGGAAACTTGTGGTCGGTCGGTCAGTGATTCGATTCGGAAGCACAGTCCCAGCAAGAGCGAGGGGCA